GTCATTTCTACTCAAATCATTCTCTTTTGCTAAAGTTATTGAAAGTGACTTTTAGTTTGCATTTTTCATTAATCTTTCTCAAAGAGAAATCCAGTCATGGTGTTGATTTTGGCTGACTACTGCACTGTTCTTTCCAAATTCCCCAGGTGTGAATATTTCACTGGGTTTTAAATGAACAAGTATCAGCCAGATATGTAATCTCGGGGTTGAAAACTCAAGTGGACATATAGATTGAGAGCATTTCTCTACTGGGATGTATAATATTCTAATGAGACAACTTACAAAAACAAAAGTAAAACATAGAGCTGCCTAGACATCACAAGAAGGCCATGGAGAAAATAAGCAGATATTAAGCCCTACTATATGGACAATTCTGTAGGCATTATGCAGCCATGGGAAAGGCGAGAAGAAGAGTTAGTCTTTTATTAAATTGGATTATTCTTTCTCCTTGCAATTATTGATCCGCAGGCTTGTTTCTGCTCCAGTTGCTAAGGGCGATTGCCTGCCAGATAGGAAATGATGTTGATGAAGACATAAAATAACACACACACACACACACACACACACACGGTTTTTACTTAAAAATCTGGAGAATTGGGAATAGAGCGTGTTAGGAGGGAGGTGGAAGTTAGAAAGAAAAAAAAAACAAACAAAGGAATATATAAGGGTGTAATAATATACAATAAGTAATTCACACTCTGAAATTCCAGATGGCTCACTTTCAAACCAACAATTATTTCATTGCTCTGGGTTCGTCATCCAAAAACTTTTTTGGGGGGGAATTATTCTCCTATGAATTATGTCTGCCAAGACTCATACAAGGGAAAAAATTTAACTATAAAAAGTACAATAAACAAAAATATGTCACTCTTTTCCATTTATCAAGTTGGTTCCTAAACAAAGTTTCGTTTCCCACATAGGCATGTTTACCATCATCAACTCTCACTTTTCATTATTATAGAAGAGTTTTGGGTTATCCTACTTGTATCATAATGGGGTGTCCCTATAATGCAGTGCTCCTACTTTGAACCTATCTGTCTGTCTGTCTGTCTGCCTACCTGTCTACCTATCTATAACTTAGTGACTTCTCATATATTGGTAGTAGGGATACCCTACCATCACGGGTTCAGGGACTTCAACAATCGTGTACCACTCAAAGAATGGAGGCACATGGCTCTTTGAGAAAGCAACAGCTACTAGTAACAGCAGCCTGGTTTTGCCAAGTGAATTCATCCTACAAAGTCCCACAGAAAAACGAAAAAAAATTTGGTGAATTATTTTCATAAGCACCCCATAGGAGTGCTAATGATCTCATCTCTTCCTTTAGAATCTCTTAAATATTCCATTAAAGGAACTACCTTCATTTCTTTAGATGAACTACTAGAGTTTAGGTGATTTTCTCTTTTTTTAATTTCTCCTTTTTTCCTACAGTTTAAAAAAAGTCAGATCTTTCTGATGAAAGATTAAAAAATGTGGAAGAGGGCCGGCGCCGTGGCTCCCTTGGTTAATCCTCTGCCTGTGGCACTGGCATCCCATATGGGCGCTGGGCTCTAGTCCCAGTTGCTCCTCTTCCAATTCAGCTCTCTGCTGTGGCCCAGGAAGGCAGTGGAGGATGGCCCAAGTGCTTTGGCCCCTGAACCCGCATGGAAGACCAGGAGGAAGCGCCTGGCTCCTGGCTTCGGATCTGCGCCGCACGCTGGCCGTAGCGGCCATTTGGGGGGTGAACCAACAGAAGGAAGACCTTTCTCTAACTCTGCCTGTCAAATAAAAAAAAAAAATGTGGAAGAAAGTATGTTGTAATGTAGAAGACAGGACTAGGAAGGATTGGATGAAGATTTGGTTTCAGTTTAGTACAGGCATTTAACTTTTCTGTTGATTCCTTAAGAGTATAATAACTGAGCTATCTCAGGGAGTTAAGAAATGGATATGAGGGATGAGCAATGTGGTCCAACAGGTTAAGATGCCTCTTGGGATGTCTACATCCCACACCAGGGTGCCTGTTCAATGCACTACCCTGCTTCCGATCCAACTTCCTGCTAATGTTATCCTGGGAGGCTGCAGGTGATGGCTCAGATAATTGGGTCCCCACCACAGGTGCAGAACCAGATGGAGATCCTGGCTTTAGCCTGGTCCAGCACTGGATGCTGCAGGCATTTGGGGAGTGAACTGGCAGATGAAATGTTTCTTTCTCTGTTGCTCTTCCTTTCACACAAATACAAATAAATAAATTTGAAAAACAAAAAGAAATGGACAACACATGTGAAAACACCTTGTAAGCTATAAAATACTAAATATCTTCATAATAACTAATAAAATCCACAAGTGTAGACAGAAGTTATTACTATATCCTCTTTATATTTGTGAGCAACTCAATAAATTTTTGGAAGATCAACTATCACGGCAGGATAGCAAATTGCAACATTATTGTCGGGTTACATATATCAGGCTGCCTCCCCTAGGTTTTTTTTTTTTTTTTTGAATCTAGGTAACAAAGCTTACACTTAGAACCAGGCCATCTTAAGAGGGAAGAAAGGGAAAATTTAAGTAAGGAACATCTCCAATGAGGGAACAGAAGTTATATTTGGCATAAAGGACCAATTAGTTCTGTTGATACAAGGTCTTCATTTCCAGAAGTAATCATCCTAACAAGAATTCAATTTCTCAGGAAAATGACACCCAGAATAGAGACAGAAGGGATAACGCTAATTTCTGGAAAGGGAAATCGCTATCAGAAACTGCTATCAACACAGTATGTATTCCAGGTAGTATTTCAGTACTCTGAGGTACTGGTTCACATAAACTTCAGAACCCACTACACACTGTTGTTATTCTCATCTTATATATGAAGGGAGTAAGGGATATGGAGGCTATTTGGTGTACAGCCTGGAACCAAAATTTGGCAATCTGGCTTCAAAACCAATACTATTTAAGTTGAACAAACTCAGAATCTCTGAGAGTCATCTACAGGTGCAGGTTTGTGGACCTGCAGAGCTAAGACCCAGAGTATGAAACTGGCTGAACACACTCTTGGTTTGCACAGCCCCTTGCTAGCCATGGGCCTTCCCTTTCCTACATTATCTACTTTGGTCAAATGCTTGTTATTCAACTTCCATGACTACTGAAAACTGTAAATAATTTCTAAATAAGAACTTACCTATTTTTTAAAAAAGGTAACATTGTTTGGTGGATCTTTGATGTTCTTGGTAAAAGGAAGGCATAAAAAATAAAATTTTAATCAGTATGTCCTGAGAATGACTCATCTTGAAGTAACAATACACATGGATTTTTTTAGATGAAGAAGAGTTAGCACTCCACACTTCCTTAAGACAGTGGACAATCTTGCATGAGAAAGCATGATGCAAGGGGCTAACTTTATTCTGGTTGAGATTACAACATCTTTATACAGGCATCAAGAAATGAATGCCCAAAACCACTCAGGAGGCTTCCGCTATTCCGCCTGATTTAAATTCACCTCCCATGCTGAAATCATTAAAGGGCAGAACACGTCAGCAGCTGCAAGTTACCTCCTTTTCACAACACCATTTTATTTTTTCTTGATTCCTTAAGAGGTCCCCTTAGCATTGCTATACAAATAAAACAGAACAGGGGCTGGATAACTTAATTAATACTTTTATGCAACTTGAAAATTTTTTCATTAACTTCTCTTTAGCGCTCTTTGATATGGATTTTCTTTCCTTTCTAAAATATTTATTTGAAAAGTTGAGTGACAGAGATAGAGAAATCATGCATCTGGTGGTTCACTCCCCAAATGGCTGCAATAGCTGGGGCCGGGCCAGGATGAAGCCAGAAACTCCATCTGGGTCTCCCATGTGGGTGTCAGGAACTCAAGTATTTCAGTAATCATCTCCCAGGCACACCAGCAGGGAGCAGGATCAAAAGTGGAGTACCTGGGACTCAAATGAGCACTCTGATTATGTGATGAAGGTGTTTCAAGTGGTGGCTTAACCTGCTGTGCACAACATAGGCTCCTAGCATGGATTTTTAATGTGGCTGGGAATCGACTACTTGAGCTTGTCCATTTGCCGTCTTCTAGGGTGCACATCAGCAGGAAGCTGGAATAAAGATTGGAGCCAGGATTTCACTTCAGCCACTCTGATATGGGATACATGTGTCCTAATAGGCATCTTGAATGCAACGGGACACACCTGCCCACTGGTGCCTTTCTTTTTGGTAACCCAAATCATCAGTCACTGTCTCATGGCTGGTCACCCTCAAATTCCTCATTGCTAAGTTTATTTTCACTATTACTACAATATATAAAAGATAAATGAAAATAGATGTTTGACACAGTAATACACATATGAATGCTAAGTGCTGGATGATGATTTCTTTTAATATGCTGACAAGATGATAGCTGAAACAGAAAAATCTATCAGTCTTAAGAGCTGCTGACAGAATTTATAATTTATTACTAATTATTGTTCAGTAACATGGAAAGAAAAGGATTAATACACAATAGGAAATTTTAATATTTAAAGTCACTTTAATTGCCGTAAATCAAGGGTCACTTTGGCAATAAAGCACAGTGTTTAAATGCCATGTCTCCTAGTTTTCATGTTTGGCTCTTATTATTGATCATTTTTGGTATCATTACAATATACCTATAATAAGTTTGATAAAAATTCCAACTTATTATTTTTGAAGAAGAAGGACATTTAAAATACAGGTATACAATATACTAAAAATCCAAGGTTTTTAAATTTCATGCATCATGTTCCGACAAATAAAAAACTAGATATTAATTTAGCTCAAGTTATCTAAATGTATGAAGAAAAAACAACCTTCTAACCAGTATCCTCACTACAAAACAAATAATCACAAAACATATGCAATTTCTTCCCTCTATTATATTATAAATGATCAAAAACTCTAGGGAAAAAAACTGTAGTGCTTCCCCAATCAAAAACAACATATACCAGGTTAAAGACTAGTGAAATCTAAACAAGAAATAACACAAAAATGACCAGTCATATTTTGGGTCTAGTGACAAACATAGTACTTTTTATTATTATTAAAGTTCCCTCCAGTATATTTCAGTTAGGGAAGTATTTTATTTGATTCCACTGTTGCTCATGGTCTGAGCCCTGCACACTCCTTTCCCTTTCACTTCAAAGGGACTTCCTTTGTATGTGGCCACACATTCATTGTTAGTGTAAAGATCAGGCTGGATCTGCTCCCAAATCTTCTTCTTAGGATTCAGCTCCTTATCAGGCTCTCCTGTGATGGGGAAAATAAACAAGGAAATTACATAACTAATAAGACAACAATATTTTTAAAGAAATCATTCATAGATACTTCCAGTGAATTGCTTGGCAGCACAATCTATTATTAGATTTAATTAGCATTTTGAATTAATTTTTACAATGTCAGCAGTCTATATTCTTGATCAATACAATGGTTATCTTCCTTATGAAGGTTAAAGATATTATTTTTATTCTCATAATAAATATTTTTGCTGATTATATTAGTAAATGAATTTGCTTCCTAAATTAGTAAAAGGAAAGTGTAAACTATTCATTTTATCATGGCATACAATTCCTCTGCTTAATGATAGGGGCATAGAAAAGTTTAACATAACCTAAGTTTAGTATCTGGGGATGTTCAATAATTCTGGGAACAAAAAAATCAGTTCAAAAAACAATGCAGAAAAGTCACTTATCTCTCAAGTATCAGAACTTGAATAAATTTCCTGGAGGTTAAAAGCATACTACTGAAGCATAATTCCATAATCATGGAAATAAAAACCTTTTAAGTTTTTTTTTTTTGAGTGACTCTCACACAAAAATACTCAGAATTACTTGAGAGGAATTTTTAAAGTGCTGCAACTACGTACATTCTAAATTCTGACTGTATATTATTATTTAAAGTGGTGTTTATTCCCTGCCCATAACACAGAGGAATAACAAAATAACAAAACTAACTAAATTGGTTGATCACTTTTTTTTTTTTTTTTTGGTAATCTGACAACTAGAGTTAGACAGAGAGAGAGAGAGAGAGAGAAAGAAAGAGAGAGAGAAAGGTCTTCCTCCCGTTGGTTCACTCCCCAAATGGCCGCTGTGGCCAGCGCTGCACGGATCCGAAGCCAGGAGCCAGGTGCTTCCTCCTGGTCTCCCATGTGGGTGCAGGGGCCCAAGGACTTGGGCCATCTTCCACTGCCCTTTCAGGCCACAGCAGAGAGCTGGACTGGAAGAAGAGCAACCGGGACTAGAACCCAGCGCCCATATGGGATGCCGGCACCACAGGGGGAGGATTAACCAAGTGAGCCACGGCGCCGGCCCGTGGTTTTGTTTTTTTTTGGCTCTTCGGGGACTACAAAATTGGCAAGCACATGTGACATTGCCCTCTAACATGCAGGTTTCTAGATATGACAAAATAGTCCACTAAATGATACATCCACCTTTTAACAAGCTATGAAAAATAAAAGTGAAAAACAGACTACCAGACTAGATGAGGCACAAGTAGAATTTAAAACCCAGGGAGTAGGCTAAATGTTTCAAAAATTTAAAGCTCACACAACTCACACGAGATAGGTACCATTAAACAGTTGAACAGTTGTAAAAGCTGAGGCTCAAAAAGGTTTCCAGATCATCTGAGCACTTGTGTAACCAAGATCTAAGACTGCAATAATTATGAAGGAACAAAAATATGAACTAAAATAAACTGCAAATAAATACAAGCAATTTCCAAAGCTTGAGTGTTACCTTTAATACACCAGACTTAATACCTGAACATTACATATGTGGTTGTGAGACTTCAACAAGTCATTTGATGCTTACTATTTGACAAGGATCATGGAAGTGTTTGGTAAACTAAAAAATGTTAAACACATGTATATTACTAATAATAATGCCAAAAAATCAGAAGTATCTCTGCTTTAAAATAATTTGAACATTAAATACTACCCTGAGGTCTATAAATTACACTCTTGCTTGCTTCTATCTATATGAGAAAATTTTACAAGTTATATAACTCAATTAATTTTAAAAATAGAATAGCTGTCATTGCTTTGAAAGGTGCTCAGACGACTAAACAACTAAGATTATAAACAAAACCTATTACATCTTGGATACAGGGTCTAAATCAGAACTGTAAAAGTCCTGGATGAGAGTGTTAAACCTTCAGCATACTCAAAATGTTTTTTAACAACATACTATTTTGTAGGGCACAAAGCTTACTTGATTAAAGTTTAAATCACCCTCCGTGAAAAATACACCAATTTTTAAAAGGACTTCTTTTTTAATATGAACTGTTTCCCAGAGAAATCTTCAGTCATTTCTGTGTGCACAATCTTTTTTGTGCAGATCGTGTTTTCCCAGCCATTTTTTTTCTTCTTTGACATTGTTATCTAAAGGTAAGTGATGATATAAATACAAGTTCTTAAAGCTAAAAAGTGCAGTCTCTGAAATTGCTAAACGATGCCAACAATCACCATTTGGAAATGGTTACATATATTGTAAGAGAACAAATCATTTCAATGATTATTTTAGGCCAAGTCATTCTAAACACACAGGGAATAGGAACTGGTTTAGAGAGGATAAAGTCCAGAAAGGCTTGTAAAAATGTAAAAAGCTGTAACAATCCTCCTAGCATTAAAAATCTATAGAAGCAATAAATACAAACCCAAGAGATCTAGGAACTCACATGTCTGGAAAAGAACTGGAAATTTCATTTTAATTAGGTCATTTTTGGGTACCATGTGCTCACTGACCAATAAAATCTAAAGCGGCCATAACTAACTCTAATCCAGTTATTTGATGCTTGATTGAATTTTTGAATTATAATAATTGTAACCATTGCCAACTCTTGTACAAAAACTAAAATGTAACTTCATAAAGAAGGAGCCAATTAATTTTGCAGAGTTAACCAATATGCAAAAGTGGCTTAGTGGGGGCCGGCACTGTAGCACAGCAGGTTAACGCCCTGGCCTGAAGTGCCATCCCATATGGGTGCCAGTTCTAGTTCCGGCTGCTCCTCTTCCAACCCAGCTCTCTGCTATGGCCTGGGAAAGCAGTACAAGATGGCCCACGTCCTTGGGCTACTGCACCCACATGGGAGACCCGAAAGAAGCTCCTGGCTCCTGGCTTCGGACTGGCGCAGCTCCAGCTGTGGAGGCCATCTGGGGAGCGAACCAGCGGATGGAAGACATCTCTCTTTCTGTCTCTCTCTGTGTAACTCTAACTTTCAAATAAATAAATAAATCTTTAAAGAAAAAGTGGTTTAGTGGTGTGACAGGAATGACCTTGGCAATACTAAAGACTTTTCTCCAAATCTTGTATTTTAAAAAACAGTATTACTAGTAAGTTTCTCTATATTTATTTAATGATCCATTTAATGAACTCCTATTTTATGCCAGGCACTATTCTAGATGCCAGCAATATAACAGACAATAATTTTAAAAAAAAAGGAATTTTATGATATTTATATTTCCATGGGCAGATAATAAATAATGTACAGTATCTTAGTTGGTGATAGGTGCTTTGGAGAAAAATAATGCAAAGAAGGTGACATCTGAAAAGATTTGAATAGAATGAAAGAGCAAGCCCTGTAGTGATCTGGGGAAACAGCCAGTGGCCCAAGTGCAGTGCATGAGAAAACTTAGCATAGAGCAGATTAATAGATGGGTAATACAAAGATTTGGGCCTGTGATCTGAGTGAAAAGGATAACTTGCGAATAGTTTCGAGCAAAGGAATATGATTTGATCTATATCACTCTGGCTGTTGTATTTGAAGACAGATGGAAAAAGGGTGAGGGCAAATGTGGGGAGATCAGTTAGTAGTAGGTTTTCGCAAATATCCTGATAAGAGATGTTGGTACTGGGACCAGGGTGATAACGTTGATAAAAAATGAGAATGATCCTAGATGTAGCCAGAAGATAGAGGCACTAGGACTTTTGAGGAGATATAGGGTATGGGAAAACCAGCTACACAACTTGGAGAATGCGGTTGCCTTCAAATGAGGTGGGAAAACTGGAAAATGGAAACTCCAGGGGAAAGATTGGGACATGTCACCGAAGAAGGCCACTGGGTAGCTCAGATAGGTAAATGGATAAAAATGCCAAGGGATAAGCACAGAAAAAGAAAAGAGGAGGGCAGGAATTGTGGTGCAATGTGTTAAGTCACTGCTTAGACCACTCACATCCCGAATCAGAGTGTCTAGGATTGAGAATCAACTCTGCTTTCATTCCAGTTTCCTGCTAATACACCCGGGAGGGAGCAGAGAGATGATGGCTCAAGTACCCTATTGCCCACGTGGGTAAAATAAATGGAGTTTCTAGCTCCTGCTTTGATTTGGTACAGCTCTGGCTGTTGTAGGCATTTGGGGAGTGAACTGGCAAATGGAAGATATCTCTCCCTCACTCTCTCTCTCACTCTGCCTTTCAAACAACTAAAAATGAATAAACATTGTTCAAAAAAAGAAGACAGAAAAGAAAAGGATGGAGAACTGGTCTTTAGCTTTAGAGTGAGTAGTGCTCTTAACCAGAACAGTTCTGGTGGAGCAGTGGGGAGATCAACCTGCTGAAATGAGAAGAGGAATTCTGTGAAGATGATTTTGTCATTTAAGAAAAAATGGATTAAAAAGTTAAACCTAAGCTTTGTGATTAACTATTAACTTAAGATATTAACATGTGGGTAGAGAGAGAGTTTAGTTATTGTTATACAGTATTATTTGGTATGTTTTAAGATTGAAGAAATTTTTTGGTCTTGCAGTTAGAGAAAAGAGCTGTTAAGTATGAAAACACTTTCAAGGCCAAATAACAATTCAAAGGTTTGAAAATCAACTGCAGTTTCTATACTATATCTGATACATGTAACATAAATATATCAATCTTTAGTCACTAAACTCATCCAGTGACTATCAAAGTATATCAGCAAATATCTGAAGTTTCACAATGCAAAAGAGATCATGTGAAGTAAAGCACTACATCTCAAGACATTGGTATAGGCAACAATTCTTTGATAAGACACCAAAAATACAAGCAACAAAAGCAAAAATAAGATTACATCAAATTAGCAACACCCTGCATAGCAAAGGAAACAATTGACAGTGGAGACAACTGACACAATGGAAAAAAAGTTTGCAACGTATTCATTTAACAAAGCATTATTATTTAGAATATATATAGACCTAAAAAAAACCCAGAACAACAAAAAAAACTCAACAACAAAAATAAACAAACAATCCAGATAGGAAATGGGCAAAGTATCTGAACAGGTATTTCTCAAAAGAAATACAAATGGCCAGCAAAGAAATTTAACTATGCATCAAAGAAATGCCTATCCCAACTACAATGAGATATCACCTTACTCGAGTCAGAATGGCTACAAACGACAAAAAATAATAAATGCTGACAAGGATGTGGAAACAAGTGAAACCTTATACACTATTGGTTTGAATGTTAATTAGTACAGCCATTATGGAGACTAGTATGGGGTTCAAAAGCTAAAAACTTAAAAATATCTGGGTATATACCCAAAGGAAATGAAACCAACCAGCCAACCAAATACCAGCGCTCCCAGATTCACAATAGCTAACTCATAAAATCACCTAAATATTGATGGATAAATAAAATGTGTATGGTGCTGCAGCACAGGGGTGGGAAGCTGGGGGAGCAGGCACTGTGACATCCACACATACTGCATCAGAGCACCTGGAATTGAGCTTATGTCTGCTTCCAAACCAATTTGCTGCTGATGCACATCCTGAGAGACAGCAGATGATGACTCAAGTAGTCAGGTCCCTGATACTTGTGTGGGAGACCCAGATGGAGTTCCTAGCTCTGGCTTCAGCCTGGCCTAGCCAAGCTGTTGTGGGCATTTGGAAAGTAAATCCATGAATATAATACCTCTCGGTTTCTCTGTGTGTCTTTCAAATAAAAAATTAATTAATTAAAACAAAAAAGAGGAAAATGTGGTATAAATACACAATAGCATAATGCCATAAAAATGGCATAAATATGGCACAATGCCATAAAAAATGAAATCCTACATTGGAAACAAAATGGATGAAATTACAGGTCATTATGTGAAAAAATCCAGACACAGAAAGACAAACCATGTGTTCTTCCTCATAGATCACATGTGGAGGTTTTTTTTTAAAAATCTAACTGAACTTGGAATAGCAATTATCGGAGGCCAGGAAGAGTGGGAGAAATAAGGGCAGGTTGGATAATAGTTACCCAAACAGATAGAAGCAGTAAGCTCTAGTGTTCCTCAGCATGGTGGTGTGATTGTGGCTAAGAAAAATGTATTCTATGCTATATAAAAAACAGTAAAAGAAAAGCCAGGATCCAAACACAAAGAAAAGATAAGGAATTAGGTACACCACATACATGTGTTAAATATTGCATTGTATCCCATAAAGAAATCCAAATACTACATGTGAATCAAAACATAGTGTTAATGGTCTGTTGTGTACTATCAACTGTAACTTCCTTTTACATTTATTGCAATAGAAGCAAGAACTGGTAGGAGGCATTCACAAGGTGAGTACTAACAAACCTCATATTCCAAATTTTATTAATATTTGATACCATTCAGCCTGGGTAAGCATTAGAGAATAATTCAAACTACCTTACTGATTATTTTAAAATTAGGTTTTCTTTTCTTATGTTTCACAAATATGAGAAAACATAGAAAACTTTATAGAAAATGGAATTAAGAGATTTTAGTGCAAAAAAACTCATGAAGTTCATACAAATTTTCATAATATACATATTCAATGAACTTTGAGAACCCCATGTATGCATGAATATCACACTTTTGCATATCAGAATAAACATCTATTAATTTCGTTTCTCCATGAACTTTCTGAAGTCTCCTTATATAACCTCTACATATTCAAGTGCTTATAGCACAAGGAGAAAGTATGAATTGGGAAGAAATAACAGACTTTAGAAGAAAGCAAATATAAACATACAAATGGCCAAACTGATTGAAAGATTCAAGAATACAGGAAAGGCAGAACATGAAAGATTCAAGAATACAGGAAAGGCAGAACATCCATGTGGACCATTAACATCTCTACTATGTCAAAAATATTTTTTTAAAAAAATATATATTATTTTCATCTACTTAAAAGGCAGAGCGACAGAGAAAAAGAGAGACAGGAGAGCGAGAGAGAGATGGATTTTCAATTGGGCTCGTTCTCTCCCAAAATGCTCGCAACAGTGAGGGCTGGGCCAAAGCAAAACCAGGAGTCCAGAACTTCATCCAAGTCTCCCACATAGGCAGCAATGGTCCATGCACTCAAGTCACCATCTGCTGGTGAGCCAGGACTCAAAGTTGCAATCTGATTACTGGATGTGGGCATCCCACGTGGTTTACCATTGTGCCACAATGTACGCTTCAGAAAGTCTCCCTATTAATTTATCAACAGTAATATTCAGATAGTAAAAACTGATTCAAATGCTGAAGTACTTACTATTAATTTTATAAGTGAGTAAGAATGGTCATAATAATAAAGGAACTATAAGCTTTCATTAATTAGTTCATGTTAATTCATAGCAAGCAACAATCAACAAACAAAAATGCTAGAGTACTAGAGATTCAGCAAATCTATGGTAAATCTTCCATTAACTCTATAATATTAAGCTATTAACAATTTTGTTGGACCAGTTTCTGAAATTACAATAAAGTGAATTAAAGTAGATGATTTCCTCTAGTTCGAAACATCTGACTCTACTTTATGCATGTATGATCTGAAATATTTAAATAAAAAATCTTAAATCTGAAAAAATAAGTCAGCATTTATCTATTTCGGCTGCTTTTCTCAGTGTATTCTCAATCTTAAAACTGATTTAGTGACTATGACTTCCAAATAGAATTTAACTAGGTTATTCATGTATATATGTGATGGCTTACCCAAAAGTGGGAGGTTTTAGGAAGTGTTTTGATACTGTGGAAGTACAGCATTGATCACATATGCTCTTAGAACCTGAACCCATCAGGTTTCTTTCAAATCATTCAGACTGGGATTTTCTCAAAACCCAATTTACCATAAAAAAAAGGGTTTTTAGAGAAAAGACCATCTGGTTTCCAGGTTCCAGGGTTCAAGACATGCACATGCATTCAAAGTCATGGATATATGAAAAGAGCAAAAAAGATGCTTTGTGTTACTAAGCCTACTACTGATTGGGAGATTAACCTATGCTTTCATCCATATTTTTTATTTCTTCTTCTTCTTCTTTTTTTTTTAGATTTACTTTATCTATCTGAAAGGCACAATGAGAGAGAAAGAAAGAGAGAGAGGGGAGAGAGAGAGGGACAGAGGCAGAGACAGAGAGATCCTCCATCCACTGCTCACTAGCCAGATAGCCGCAACAGCCAGGGCCAGGCCAGGAGACAGGAGTCTCTTCCACGTCTCCCCCCGTGGCCCAAGCACCCGGGGCAAACACTTGTGCATCCTTCCAGGGCCTAAGCACTTGGGGCATCTTCTGCTGCCTTCCGAGGTACATTAGCAGGGAGCTGGATCAGAAGTCAGCAGCCAGAACTCAAATTGGAGCCCTACATGGGATGTTGGCATCACATGCAGCGGCCCTGCTCACTATGCAATGGTGCCAACCCCTTCCATCCATATTTTCTGCTTTACCATCCAATATTACCACTCCAATACACTCTAATATTTCATTACAAAGAGTTAACATGGAAGTAAAAAAAACTATATAGTCACATTAATCTTGCAATTCCATTTAAACTAAGTTGTTTCTACAAACAACTCTCCAAATTAATTGTGACTTTTGAATCTACTTCTACTTTTACTCTAGTTTATTTCTGCTTTCCCCATTACTCTGGTCTAATGAATCACCTTTAAGAAAATGGCAGTCTTTTAATTTTTATTTTTCCTCTTAGGAGATCTTCTTCTATAACTACCTGGCACCCCTTGGCTTCTGCTTCAAACATCTACTTGAAGAAACTTTGTCATACACTACAAAGTATAGGCTTTCTCAAAGGCATTTCTATCACAATAAATATGCGACATGAAGCGAAACTTCCTTTTATATTGCTAAAATAATTAAATTTTAACTTAGAGTTTTTCTCTACATTCTGAAATCAAGTAAAAGAACATGCAAGTATATTACTAGACAGACTTTGAGAATTATACATCTTTCCCTAATATCTGAATGTTCATCTGTCTTTCTGGGGTACATTCTGAAGAGGTCTATAGCTTAAAAGAAAAGATTTTGTGACACATTAATCTATTCTTTATCCATGCCACACACTTCTGCTATACAAGTATTCACATGAGTGAGTGTCTTACTCAGATAAAAACTCTCTGATGTATTAAGTCTATATTCATGGGAAGAACAGTTGCATCCTTAAATTTAATGTGTTACCTTGAGCCAATCTCAAAATGCTCAATAATAATTTAAAATGGTCATTTAATGTAAATAAACCCTTGCAATTCATACATGGCACGGATTTTAGCTTTTAAACATAAGAAATATTGTTTAAAATCAATTCCGCAATTATTTTAATAATTGGTAACAAATACTTACCTGGGAAGCCATCAAAAGTAATCCTGTCTCCAGGTACAGACCCATTAGGCGGAGCCAAGATTTCAACTTTCTCTGGTGAACTAGCACACATCACCATTGCTTGCGAGATTACTCCCCTCATCTTTGCAGGCTTCAGGTTACAAAGTAAAACCACCATCCGATTTTGCATCTGTGTGAAACATAAATTGTTAACTGAACATGCACAGCAATTTTCATACCTAGAATACATTAAGATGTATTTAATAAGGTAGGTATCAAATGTTCTTCTTTTGTGAATGTATCTCTGTGTTCAAAGTCTTTTACTGTTGTTATAAAGTCTTGCATAAACATAACCAAAAAAAAAAGTCCTCCAAACTGACATACATTATGGTTGAAAAAGCACAAGATGTTATCCCAAACATTTAGTGAATGAATAAATAACTGATTAAATAGATATGGTTTTAAATTTCAGCTACCATTAACTTGCAATTCGATTGTGTACAGTTGATCTTCCTGCTACCTTGAAAAATGAGGTAAATAATACTGATATTAAAGAACTGTTTTTAAGGGTTAAATCTGGCAAACATACAAAGCATTTACCTTAGTATCTAGACTAAAATAAATGTTCTCATTTGCATATGCCATATATGGCCACTTGGAATACTATGCAATATTTATTTCCTAAACTGAAGAAATTGATCATTTAACAACTCAGGCATAATGCTTACAGAAACTAGCATTTTTGGCTATTTTGACAATTTTTTATAGAAGTGAATACAATGTTTTTTAATCTTTAAAAATTGAAGTATCAATTTTTCCCCAATTAGCAGGTTTAAAATAAACAACTGAACTATTGCTGCAGATGAGAAATAAAGGCACATTCTGAATAAAATATTTTATAAATAATATTTTATAAATAATAAATTTTATTATTTTATAAATAAATAGTTTCATAAATAAATATTATATATTTAAATTTACTCCCCAATTCCATGATTTTAAAAATGGGTTTACGTATTGAATTCAAATGATTCTGTTTAGGGGGTCTTCAGGAAGAATACTCCTTCCTAAAAAACTTCACATAACTTGAAAATGTCACATTATGAAGATTTACAAAAAAATACAGCACAAACATAAGCATAACAGAAGGGTTAGCTACATGTAATCCCTGAAGAATCTCATGACAGCTGTCAACTTTTCCTTAAGAAAAATACACAACCTACAAAATCTAGCATGCAATTTTGGGAGCTAAGTAGCCCCGCTTCACAAAATCCTTATTAGTATAGTCTCAGTGGGTTACATACAGATACTACAGAAATAGCTTTGCTTATGGCTGTGAACGACAGCTTCTTGAAGAAAAGAAATGATCTGTAACCAGGTGACCAGAAAATATGACACTCAAACAAGGAAAAGTTTTCCCAATTAGAGCTGCCTGAAGATTAATTCACTCTTTTCTCCCTAAGGAGTTTTAAAGAATCCCAGTTCCACACAAAGTGAGTATTTCAAAAAGGAAAGAAAGCATACACCTGTGCCAAATGTATCTTTTTTAATAGATAAATTTCTTTATTGATTTCCTTCATTCCACCTCCGCACTCCGCCAAAAGAGCAGTGAGAATGATTCTATTATAATGTGAGGTAGATCGTGTCGTTTTGCCAAAAAATCTCCAGTGGCTTACACACTTCTCAAAATAAAATCCAAGCCTCTTTATACAAAGATCTTTAACATCTTGTGTCATTTGTAATCTTTATCCCTGATTTCATTTCCTATGATTTTCCTGCCTTATTTAACTCTGCTCTAATCACTCTATTCTCCTAAACTGAAGACCTTAAAAAAAGGGCAAAAAACAAACAAACAAACAAACAAAAAAAACAAAAAAACCTAAGCACGAAGTGTAAGACATTATTTTCTTACACTCTGATAAAGTTAATAGCAATCCATTACATATGAGATTAAGCCTCTAAAGTAAAGGAAATGAGTAAATATTCTATACAGAAGAAAAAAGTGCCCTCCTCATTTTCCTGAGACATGATAAGAAATAGTTCCCTTTCCTCTTCAGCATTCACAAGCTAACACTAGCAGAAGAGTAATGATAAACCTGAAACAATCACAACTTAGCTTCTAGCTCAGCTTTGACACCCCATTTCAGTTATGAAATGTTCTAACTTGTGCAGAGTATGCCTTCCATCTAAAGGTGTACCCAAATCTAACCATTAGTCAATTTCTACCTTGAGAAAACAGCAGGAGGTAGGAGGAAAGGGGTTTAGGGCAAGGAGCACGTGAAACTCAGTTCTCAATTTTGAGGAATCAACATATAAGGACTTTTATGGGAAATTCCATTTGAAACTATTTTAAGAAACAATGAAAGATAAACTAAAACTTTTTGGAATGGGGCAGGCACTGTAGTGCATTCAGTTAAGCTATTACTGGGGATGCCAGCGTCCAATATAGGAATGTCTGGGATCAAGTCCCACCTCTACTTCCAATCCAACTTTCTGCTAACTTTCCTAGGAGGTAGCAGAAAATGGATCAAATTCCTTGGCCTCTGCCACTCATGGGGGAGACCTGGATTGATTCCTGGTTCCTGGTTTTGACCTGGCATTTGGAGAATGAACCAATGGCTGGAAGGTCTCTATCTCTGTTTTTCCCTCTTTCTGTGTCACTCTGCCTTTCAAATAAATAAATAAATAAAACAAAACGAAAAAACCAAAACCCTGTTCTGAAATTGCATTCCTTCCACAGTCCAGTTGTTTGTCTTATGACGTCCATCATTCATACGGCACTAAAACCTGCACAGTACCTGTAGCTAGAAGCCTGCACTGTAACTGCGGTTAGTTACACTCTATCTTGGATGATAAAAAGGAAAGCTGACCAGGATAGGGATTATAGGCACTCAGCCCTGGAGTCAGATTCATGAGAATTTACTACTTAGGTTCACAGGTTGCTTCACTTTAAGATCATCTATAAGCAAGGACAGTACTAAACAGATATACTAGTAGTAGCAAATAAAATATTACATGTGAAAAGCATATATAACTAGTTTAAAAGCAATAGCCATCATTATTTTCACTTTTGTTCTATCATGGAATTTTATTATTCCTTGATTTTTTAAAGATCACTGTTACGCAATCCCAGAAAGCATCAATCTAAAAGCATGAGAAAAAGCTCATTTCTCTATAGTCTAAGAAATATTTTTAAACCTGAGGAAAAATGGAGGAGACTACAGAAATAATGTCATTTTCAATGGTATTCCATTATTCATTAAAAACTGGATGTTTTGTATTTTTCTGTTAGATATTATAAAAAGATATTGCTTGTTATAGGAAATATAAAATCTTAACCATTTTTAAAATACAGAAAATAATAACATGTTTTCTTCTTTCTGTTCTAATGAATTCTATCTTAATTCACAGATCTTTGGCTTTTTTTGTGGCCTTTTTTTATATACATTTTTTGGTAGAATTCACCACACTCAAACTAATCAACTGATCCAATTAATATTGGTTCAAGCCACATGGTAATCTGCCAAGTAATTAGAATAGACATTAAGAAAGAGGAAATAAAAGTGACAAATACATGCAACAGTGATTTTAGTAGTACACATTACCTGATCGAGAGGAACATGATTCACCAGGCCACTGACAACTGTTCTCGGTGCTGATTCTCCAACATCTATTTCTTCAACATACAAAGAATCTGCATCAGGGTGTTTTCTGGCAGTAATGATGCAACCAATTCGGAGATCCAGACGGGAAACATCTATTGGCTTAGAGTCAGCACTTCCTGTTACTGCTTGCTGTTTTTTCTCCTTCTTCTCTCCTAAAAAGTATTTGTGATTAGGTAAATATCAGAAATAAAATAATAATTAATACACGACAAGAAATTTTTGGTATTAATACTGAAAAGCCTAAAAGAAAAAAATAAAAAAAAAGAGTATTTGTCTTCTACATTCTGTGATGCATGGGCCAAATTCAGTCTGTTGCCTATCTTCACAAAGAAAGTTTTACTGGAACACAACCACACTCATTTGTTTACATATTGTCTAGAGATACTTTTGCACTATAGCAGAGTTGAGTAGCTGTGTAAAGAGACTGGATAGTACAAAATGCCTAAATTTACTATATGACATTTAACTAGAAACTTTGCCTTCCATGAAACAGGGCTATAGAAAACCATTTGCAAGTTTTTAAAGGACTCTGGAGGGTACCAAATCCTTTATTTAGAAAGAATACCAAAGTCATTAGTCAAATGATGAAATGAATTACAGTAAAACACAATTTCACTGACAAAATTATTCTCTTATCAGTTATATAGAGCAGTAATTATATAATGAATATTTTTATTTCTTTGCTTCCTATTTTGAAGACTTATGAAGCCTTTAGGTATATTCATAGCAATTATTTTAGTAGAACAGAAAATTTGATTCAGATTACACTTTAATGTTCTTACTTTTATTTGTATGTGCATAGTGTAAATCTTATGAACATATGATTACTTTAGTCAATGAGTCAAAAATGTAACCTATAAAGTGGATTCATATTTCTTCAGTTTATAATTAGCTTTTCTTGCAAAACAGAACATAAAATCCAAATAAAAAATTTACCTTTAAATATTAGAGAACAGAGACAAGCTATTAAAGCTTAGGAGCATTTTTTCTCAATTATACCTTTGATCTTTCAACAAATATTTATTGAGTCCTAGGACACTAAGAGTAAGGTTAATAGCTCATGCTGTTAAGGCACTCAAAATCTCTCTTAAGGGAGACAGACCTACCTCTAACAAATATGTGATGAATATTACATACATAAAGAAATTCAGAACAAAGAACAGTAATTCTGCCTGGAGCAGAAAAGCAGGATTCTATGTGAAGTACATTCACAATTTATACAAGCTAGTTCATGAAAAAAGACAAAGGGCTGGGCAATATTTGATCTCTTTAGTGGTAAATACCCAAGAGACATAGAAAAATATATGCAAACTTATTAGAACAATATATACCACAAATCTTAGTACAGGTTCAGTATCATTTATCTCAATTACCTGGGAACAGAGCAATCATAGATTTTTTTTTATTTTTCGGATATTTGCATATACATAATAAGGTGTCTTGAAGATAGGACTCAAGTCTGAATACGAAAACCATTTATGTTTCATATATACCTTATACACATAGTCTGAAGGTAATTTTATAGAGTATTTTAGTATGTCTTTTTTTTTCTCCTTTAATTTTAGCTCTAAAATATTAGAGAGAATATGCAATACTTGTCTTTCTGTGCCTGGCTTATTTCAATCAATATGACACAAAAGGAAAAATATGGAATCAATCAAGGTGTCCATTATCAGATGAATGATAAAGAAAATGTGGGATATATACACAATAGAATATTATCCAGCTAAAAGAAATAAAATTATATCATATGCAGCAAAATAGTTGGAACTGGAGGATATCAGTGTACGTATGTTTTGACTGTAACCTCTTACAAAAGGCCAAGCGTGGAATTCTACATGGCATCATGTTGGTGCTCAGAAAGTTCTGGATTTTGCAGCATTTCAGATTTTGGATTAAGGATAGTCAACCTAAAGTTATCTTTGTGTGATGAACCACATACAGTTATCATACAGCAGTATAACAGCATGATACATCTATATCAATTTTTTTAAAAAATTTACTGCTTACTAGGCATTTGAAATAATCTTATAATCAATCTGTATACCAGAGGTGGTTACAAATATTAAAATCGACGCCCAGAGCTCTGATAATTATAAGGGATTTTCATTGGCAAATGAGTGCTATTCAGCATACATGGTGGTCTAGAAAGAATGTGTAGGCATCACAGCCCATGCATGAACAGAATACTGGAATGTGGTAATTCTAGCAAGCCAACCACCTATGAAATAACCTTGCAAAACCAGCACTATCTGATATAGCAACTGGCAGCCACATATAGCTACTCATATTTAAATTTAAAATAATCAAAACTAACTTAGAAATTTAGTCCTTTGGTCACAGTAAAATTTCAAATGCTTGGTAATAGCCAATTCTAGCTGCCATGTTGGACAACAGATATAGAGCACCTCCATCATCATAGGAAGTTCCAACGGACAGAGGCCTAGAGCTCCATTTGGTCAGTGCGTTCCCCCTTTCCCATCTAACTAGTAGGTTAATTACCAGAATAATTGAAATTCTTCCTTAGAATAATAAAATGTGGATGTTGTTACATCTATCAGAACATGCTATATGACTGTTTTGTGTCTACTTCTTAATAAATTTTATAATGAGGAAATAGTCTATCTTGATCTCTTTGTAGTCATACCACCTAGTGGTGAAGTTGTGTAGAGTATGTTCAGTCCTTACCTACTTCTAACGGAGGCTACTGATATTTAATAAAAAGAACTGACAAGTGCCTTGTTCTAAACTGACTAAACACAATCCTTAAGTCATTTTATATTTTCCAAATATTTTTTAGTGAGTATAAGTATAACAAGAAATACAGATGAGTTACCAAAGCACTTTTTAAACTATCTGGTGAAATGAAATCTATTAAGGATGGAAAAAGAATAGTTAAAAAGGGAATCAGATTTATGATTAGAAAAATACCTTTAGCAGCAAGGTAAAGGAAAAGATGAAAATTTAACATTAACTTAGATGAAAAGTCACAAGAACCTGAACTAGTGTAGCACAAAAGAAAATGTTAGAGTTGAGTTCCAGATATTTTGCTGACAGGAATTACAGGATTTGTTGATTAACTAGATAGATATGAAAGATTCAGGGAGAGGGACAGGTTAAGACTAAATGGCTGGGCCGGCGCCGTGGCTCACTAGGCTAATCCTCCACCTAGCGGCGCCGGCACCCTGGGTTCTAGTCCCGGCTGCTCCTCTTCTAGGCCAGCTCTCTGCTGTGGCCCAGGAAGACAGTGGAGGATGGCCCAAGTGCTTGGGCCCTGCACCCCATGGGAGACCAGGAGAAGCACCTGGCTCCTGCCATCGGATCAGCGCGGTGCGCCGGCCGCAGCGTGCCAGCCGTGGCGGCCATTGGAGGGTGAACCAACGGCAAAGGAAGACCTTTCTCTCTGTCTCTCTCTCACTATCCACTCTGCCTGTCAAAAAAAAAAAAAAAAAAAAAGGAAAAGAGGGTGATGATACTACTTTAATCCTTATCAGAGTCTGAAATCTTAATATCCCCATAACTTACTTTAGACATTCTGCTCTGATTGGAATGTCCTTTTGATATCATTACAACAGGTCCTAAGCTAATTTTCTACCTGTGACTTCTTTAATACTATGCCCTAAATTTACACCAAAATTCACTCATACCAAACTATTTATGAGCTCCTATACCTAACCTCTGTTTCCTGTGTTTTTTACTTATGTTGATACCTCTGCCAAAAATTCCACTTTCACTCTAGTCAACATTCACAAATTCTGTAGGATCCAGCTTCCATATCCCAATATCATATTGTTCCTAATTTTATTCCAGCTCATATGAGCTTGAACTTTACTTTTTGTATCATAATTATCATCCAAAATGTTGACAAAAATACCTTTCTTTTCAATTTTTTCTTTCATCTTCTTTTCTTCTCCTCCTTTTATCAGTTCTTTGGCACCAGAAGACACAGCTGTTACTGGTGTTGATTCGATCACATTTTCAGGTGCTGCTGAATTGGGTTGCAGTGGAGTGCCAGAAGGGAATGGTATTTGCTTCACTGATATAGGAAAATAAGTAGATAATGTCACTTATATTAAACCAACAAAGCAAAAAGTATGGAATTGTGACTCACAAATACGAATTCTTTTAAAAAAAATGCCATGCATCTACTGAGATTACAGAAAGGTTGTTAAAAATAAAAGGACGATTTAATTATTAATTACTACACTGAGAAAAGTATGAACAATAGTTAACATTATGGACTCATTTGTCCCAAACACTTTCCAAAATGCTCTTTTCACATAATTCTCATAAACAACCCAAGTGAGTTCTAATATGTTGTAATTTATACAACATGAATCTGAGCCATCTGGATCAGATGAAATTGGTCTATCACACAGTCGGCAGAGAATGTGAAATTTCTGTTCAGACAGTCTGCTTCCAGATACTGCACTGCATGGTGTGGTAAGATGGCAAGCTTCTCATTCAGGTTTTCCTTTACATTGAACAAGTAGAAAGGTATTGTACCATTAATCATTGCTGTATCACAATTAATGGAGAAACAGCATCACTCATTCTCTACACCACAAAACAACTTTTTAAAAAAGCAAAAGAAGGTCCTTCAGCTATAAAATGTTAAAAACAACTCACAGTGAGTATGGAAAAATGTACTCTTGTGAGGGATGTTATGTGCTTATGTTCTGAAGTATTTTTTACGTTCTCTGGAGGGCATTGTATTTTTTTTTTTTTAGTAATGTGGGTTCCTACTTTATATTTCATCATTAGACAGAAATCACATTAACTCAAACCACAAATTTACTTTAACATTTCATTAATAAAGCTTGAATTTAAAAGATTAATGTTTATGGAGAAATGACAAACAGTTTTGCATTGCTAATATTTTAACTGGTCAATTATGTACCTGTATTCCAAAACTACTAAGTGTTGGAACACATCAACTTGTATCATTTTCTACTGACATAATATTTTCTTTAACCAATAGTGCTGAGCACACATACCATTTCTTTTTATTTAGCTCAGGGCAGGTTTCATACTAGAACAGTCAGAGTAATTCACTCATTGACAGAATAATAGTCAAAAGAAACAGTAAATATTAATAAATGTCAACTAAATATTTTAATGGCTAATTCTCAGTAATTTTCATTACTCAACAGGGAACAGTAAGAAGATGAAGTATAGTAAAAACAATTAAAAGTGTTAAGTTTCTGAATCCTGGCTTAGCCACTTTCTATGTGACCTCAGGCAAGATCATTGCCTTTTCTAAATATCCACTGTTCTATGAAAGATGCAAAGTAGGGAGGCAGTGACGATAAAACAAGCATACTATTTCACAGATAATAAATGATATATAATTACTATTACAAATAAAACAATCTATCCTCTCTATATTAAATTACAGTGACGATAAAACAAGCATACTATTTCACAGATAATAAATGATATATAATTACTATTACAAATAAAACAATCTATACTCTCTATATTAAATTACAGTGACGATAAAAAAAGCATACTATTTCACAGATAATAAATGATATATAATTACTATTACAAATAAAACAATCTATCCTCTCTATATTAAATTACCCCCATTTTGAATTTCTGCCTGAATTAGCTCCTGCTTCAGTTCTTCAATTTCTTTCTTCAGTTTTGCATTTTCAACTCGAAGTTTCTTCTCTTCTCGCAAAGTGGCCTGCAGAACTGCGATCAAGAAAATCTACTGAAAACATGTTTTTGCAAAGGTTTATTATAAATACTATTTAAAAGGGGGACTGCCAGTATAAGTGCAGTTTAATATTTATGAAAACAATGTGACAGAGTTGTCGCCAGGTCTTCACCAGAGATTGGGTCCAGAATTCCTGCACTAGATATCAAAAGCTGCACTCACTGAAGTCTTATAAAATATATTGGTACGTGTTTAGTATACATACAACTTTTTTTCAAAAAAATTTTTAAAGATTTATTTATTTACTTGAAAGTTATAGAGAGAGGGAGAGTCAGAGAAAGATCGATTTTCCATCTGCTGGTTCACTCTTCAAATAGCTGCAAGCAAGAAGCCTGCAGCTCCATCCTGATTGCACATGGGTGCAAGGGCCCAAGAATATAGGCCATCTTCCACTGCTTTCTTAGGAGCTGTATTGAAGTGGAGTCCTATAGGATGCCAGCATTACAGGCAGTGCCACAAAGCTAGTCCCTCAAATATCTGTGACTTAAGGATAGCTGCATCTACAGGTGTGGAGGGCCAACTGTATTTAAGGTTGGGAGAAAAATCTGTGAAACAACAGGACAGAAAAGGTATATGCTTATGAATCATTTTCCCAGCTTCTATAAGGACTGCTACTAAAATCAAATTAACATCTTTTCATAATTGTGGGCACTGACAACTTGACACAAAAGTGTCAATAACAAATGAATTTTAAGAGGAAAAAAAAAGTCTGTGGAAAATGACATTAAAATGTAAGTATATTCTGGCACAAAAATTTTCAAAATTCATGCATCTGAGACCTAGATATATTCAATTATTTATCAAAAGTGTCTGAGATCCACTACAGATACTACATAAGACAAAACTACTCTCATTTTTTTAGTCACTACCTTTAAAAATAAAATGGAATAATCACTTATTTCTAAGGTCTCAGGGCAGAGCTGATCAAACATTCTGTAAGTGAAATAACTTCAAAGATCTGTCAAAATATAATGTGTTTGCTAAAGGTCAGCAATGGGGTACATAAAAATATCTATCTGGAGAAAAATAATGGTTATTGAAGGGGGTAACACTGTACCCCAGGTGGGATTTTAAAAATCTGTGGGTTTAATTTCCATTATTAGAAATAATGGGAGTTATTACTGGAATTTATAGGCAGGGATTAGGGATGCCAGATATCCTGCAATGTGGTTGATATTTTTGCAACTATATCTCATCCTGCAAAACTAATTGTATAGTTGTATAAATGAAAAACAAAGCTCCTATTAATAGTTATTTGGACCTAGAGTTTATTCTGTCTCTGTGTGTGTGTGTTTATATGTAAATACAAAGTATTTTGAACCATTTTTATTATACCCTGATTTTACCATGTAAATCAAGATTAAGTTTTACCTTATTTTATTCAGAGCTTTACCTAAAGAGTCATTCATCATCCTGAGTATATAAAATCTATCACTAAAAGCTATTTTCTGGTATCTGAGTTGGCTAAACAAAGGCAGACTAAATATGCACCTATATTACATGCTATTGTACCTGTTATTGGCTTTTGGTGATTCCATGAATGTGAAGCAGGTGGCATGGAATCCTCCTCTACTATTTCTTGTCCTACCGATGTAATTACTTATTGAAATACACATTTTATTATTAATAAATTTCTTTTCTGTCCATATTACATATAAAATAAATATATATTTATATATATATTATATATTTTACATATTTTATAGGTAGGTCATTTTGTTGAAGAAATATTTTCTTTACAGGATATTAAAGGAGATTTTACAACACATTATAAAATGGGGGCAACAGGACTGAGAACCACCAAGATAGGGCAATACTAATAAAGGTGAGGGTCAGCTCTGTTCAAGTCCTGGCTCTGCTCTCGATACCAGCTTGTTGCTAATGTGTACCCTGGAGGCAACAGGTAATAACGTAAGCACAATGGTTCCTGCCACCTGCATGTGAGACTCAGAATAAATTCCTGCTCCTGGCTTTGGACTGGCCCAGCTCTGGCTGTTGTGGGCATTAGGAAAGTGAACCATCAGATGGAAGCCCTCTGTCTGTCTCTTCTGTCTCAAATAATTTTTTTAAATAAGATTTTTTTAAATCACTATTTTTTAAAATTAAAATGTAAGGACATATTTACATATAAAAATCATTTCAGAAAATGCTTTAGTAAAGTAATATGAAATTATACATTCTCTTCCATACAAGATCACTGGAAACATTTGATTCCAGTTTTAGTTTCATCCATTTTCTTCATTTCTAACCTCTGTTAGAGCAATTTATTTTAAACAATATAATTTTCCTGTGACAGTGTTTAAATACACTGTTTTCTCTGCGGGTCATATCTTCACCATATACCATTATAATAACTCTAAAATATTATTATACTAAAATTTTTAGGAGCCTAAAATTTATCATAAAAATAATTAAATAATAACATGCTGCAAACACATTTATTTTGCTTGATAACACAGAAATTCGTTTTATGTATGTCCTTAGAAAGTTTCAGGTTTCTCACTTGCTTTCTCCTTAAGAAGTGAAACTTGCTGCTTAAGATACTCAATGATCTGATCTGCCTCAGCACCCTTCTGTTCCAGTCTCTTCAGAACTGCATCGTTAGTTGCCATTTTTGCCATGAAACGGCAGAAAAACCTAAATGAAAAGACAGAAATGAAAATGATACTGTGGGAGGAATAAATTTATCATATAGGACACTGTGAAAAAGTAGTCTGAAAAAAACTTTGTAGTCTAACAGATCAATGTTACAAGTTTCCTTATGAAGTTAACAAAGCAAAGAAACAGCAGAAATGTTAAGTAGACTAATTCCTGAATCTGTTTGGAAGAGAACCTCTACTTTGCCCAGAAATGCAGAAAACATTTAAGATTGGAAAGTTTTTCTAAAAAGATTTAAATACAGCAAAATATTATCTCAAAAGATGAAGGTAAATGGTATTACACGTGTTCTACAGTAACAATAGTTGCTTAATTCTTTCCTTATATGATACTTTTATACACTGGATATTTCTACTGTTTACTCAATTACATCCAATTAAAGATGAACCATCAAGAGAGATAAATATTAAAAGAAAAAACTAACCAATTAGAAAAATTTTGAAGATATGAATATACAAAATCAATGTCATCATGCAGACTGTGTTCCTTATAAAAATTATTAGAATTTTAGTTTTATAATGTATCAATAGAAATTTTAAAACCTTGTCGAAGTTCAGATAAATGCATAAGCAAACATTCTGAGATTAATTAATTATGTTAAAATGCTTTATATTGATTTATAATCACATTGACAATGGAGGGATAATCATTAATATTATGAACAGCTCTTTTAAAAACTGATTTTATATTAATTCATAATTCAAGTATAATAATGACAATGATTGCTGAAACACTTAAGATTTCAAATAATTGAGGCAACACTAATAAAAGGAGAAAATTTTGGATAGAGGGAAAAAATCCTGGCTAATGGAAATACAAGATTGTGTCAAAAATTCAAACCATTAAGCGATATCCTTTTTAAAGACTATTCTGAAATGTTTACCTTTTTATAGAAGAAACCAACGTTCAAAATATTTTATGCTGAAGTTATTTATATATAATCTGAGATATGACAGAAAAACAAAGGAAATCAAATAAAACCCTGTCTATAAAAACAAAACTGCTACTAAATAAAGAAAAAATAAAGTGGGTGGAGGTTAATTTAGAAAAGCCAGGGTAAATTGCTCATTTTCTACAAAGATTATTTTAAGAGTTTAGACAACATTTCTTAAATGAAGACACCATCTTTTAAATTCTGCCATTTTTAGGGGTACAAAGAGTATGGTGGTAGTGCTTCTAAAATGTTTGCAAAGCCATTATTTTAAAGACAAAAATAGAAATGGGTAAATGAAGGCAATTGAAGTAAAAAATACTATGCTCTTCTAAATCTTAGCATGCGGAGATACAGTACTCTTTCAATTCAATATCTTTCTATTTTAGTATAAAAATGATTAAATATTGTTAAAGCACAAAATAGTTATCACAAACAAGTAATAATGAACATATGATTTGGCATAATCTGTGACTTTTACTTTTCTGGCAAAAAAATATTTGATGAACAAACTAAAATGAATGTGAAATTAGTGATAAACAAATACAGTTTAGAAAACATAGTGCAGCTGACAAACCATGTTACCTAAATGTTAATATTTAAAAAAACTAACATATTAGTATTTTAACTGATACAGAAACACATTTAAGTCTAGAATAATTTTCTTAAATGAGGTCTAGAAAGTCACCTCACAAATCCCGGCCAAGTCGTAGAAAAGGCAAACATGAAACTCATGGCCTGACTTACACAAAATGTTTCAGAATCTTCTAACAGTTATAGTAATTTGTAAAACACAAAATAACTCCTAGCCTCACAAGAAAAGCAACAGAAACAACTTTAGTGTTTTGATATATCTATAATTATCGAAAAAGCATATACTTACACAATTGAGTAAAATAAATCATAGTTTTTGTAAAGCACGCTGAAGCAAAGGCGTAGTAAGTTTACTAAGAGAATTCCATGTCTCAAGACACAGAAATAGAACTGAGCCAAACACATTAAACAGAAACGCACAACGACTAAGAGGAAACTGTGTGATAGAGGGAAGTGATAAAACTGTGAATGAAGAGAACAGAAAATTAAAGTGAGAGAAAATCAGAATAATCTTCAAACTCATCAGTACTGAACTGCGTTAAGGGATTTGGACACATAAAGCGAAAAGACTTGCTATACCAACTGTTTTAACACCAAAATACTAAGATCACAAATTGAAATACAGTTACAGATAGTCAGGACTAAGTAATAATTACAGTATGGCAGAAGGTATTTTAACACTTAGCTACTAAATTTAGTTCAAACAATATTTTTAAGTAAACCATCTGAACGTGTTTTTTCAAATTAAACTAAGTTAAATAAAAAACATATTTCACCTGCATACAAAAGGATTTAATGAGTTAATAGAGTTAAACTGGATGTATGTATCCGCCTTTCTCTCAGATACAATACAAAAAAACCCATGAAAAAATATAAAACACAGTAAAGCAAACTTCGAGATTATTTGTGCTTTAACTGCCATAGGATAATATGCATTATATCTATGTGTTTTAGATATTTATCTACTTAATTATATCCATACAAATATTATAAAATAAACAAGTACTTATTTAGATTCAGGTCTACTTTCAAATTGTGAATTGTTAAATAAGACTCAGATTGAGAAATATGAATCATTTACAACACTTAGTAAAAATGCATTAATTCTTAACAAAATAACTGGATCAAAGAAACATGAGATATAAAGAAAAAAGAAAGCATCTTAATAATAATGAGAAAGTTAGTGGAGAACACTTCATGCTTAGGCCATGGACTTTTAAAATACTGAGAACAGAAAGGGATGAGTATTCCCAATCAACCACTCACATATGAAGAAATGTTGGATGATCAAAGTTATCTGGAATTTCCTGATAGACTTTACTGCAGAATTAGTATCTGCCAGGTTTTTTCTAAACACTTCACAGATAACAACTCATTTAACCATAACACTACCACCAAGAGGAATACAGCTGTGGGACTCGGAACAAGTAACAACCTCTCTGAGCCTTAGGTTTTCCCATTTATAAAAAGGGGATAACTCTACATAGCTCACAGGAGTACTGGGGGAAGTCAAAGGATACTTAATAATAAGGATTCTTAATAAGGTTTTTTAAAAGATATGTATTTATTTATATTCATTTGAAAGGCAGAATGACACAGAGAGGAAAGACAGATCTTCCATCTGCTGTTTGACTCCTTAATGCCTCCAACAGCCAGGGCCGGGCCAGGCTGAAGTCAGGAGCCTAGAACTCCAATTGGGTCTCCCTCACGGCTGACAAGAACACAAGTACTTAAGCCATCACCTGCTGGCTCCCTGTTGCATCAGTAGGAAGCTGAATAGGAAGCACAGAGTAGTCAGGACAGTTGTCCCAAGCAGCAACTTATATGCCACAATGCCCAACTCCTAATAAGACTTTTGACACACAGCAAACAAATGGCAGCTAACTTCCTACCCGTCAGGCATTGAGCTCAATTTTGGGAACACAAAAAATGACAGGGTAGGAGCCAGTACTCTGGTGTAGAAGGTTAAGCATCTGTCAGCCTGGCATCCCATATGAGTGCTGGTTTGAATCCTGGCTGCTACAGTTCCAATCTAGCTCCCTGCTGATGTACCTGGGAAGGCAGTCGAGGATGGCCCAAGTGCTCAGGTCCCTGTACCCACGTGGGAGAACTAGAAAAATCTGACTCTGGCCAGGCCGAGCCCAGGCTATTGCAGCCATTTGCAGAGTGAACCAGCAGATAGAAGATAGTGCTCTTTCTCTAAGTATCTCTGCCTTTCAAATAAATAAATAAATCTTAAAAATGACTCGGGTTAACTATATAGTCTTCACCTTCAAAAAGCTCATGGTATAGCAGGTTACTAATGCCATAATATATTTTAGGTCCCTAGGTAAGACTTTTATATTTTCTGAAGGGTTAATAATATATCTAATAGTAAAAATATAACATATAGAGATGGATAGTAAAAGATATTAAAACATACTCAATAATTTGGTCAAGTTACTTGTTAATCTGTCAGTGGTATACAGTCTGTGGGAGTGATAGATATTAACATTTTTATAGTAATGGTGAGCAAAATATATCCAAAGATTCCTGTCCCCAGGAATACAAAAGAAAACTCTGTGTACTTTTCCCCACAGACTGCCATCGTAACTGTGAAATTCTAGAGATAACACGGACAGTACTAAGGAGACTAAAGCATATTTAAATTGTAATGGTTCCTGAAGGACTCTTGTGAGAGTTATCAGCTCCAGCATAGAAGGCAAAACAACCCAGGATAAGCAGTGCATATAATTTTGCCAAAGTCACCCAACTGACCAAGAACATCAAAGAAAAATTATTTTATGAAAATGATGACAATTGTTCTGGTTTAAGATAAGTAAAAAAAAGAAAAATCACTGAATATTTAATGTGATTTTGCCACAAACCTAAAACTGCTGTATAAAATGAAGTCTATTAAAAAGTTTTAGAAGATTTTTATTTATTTATTTGAGAGTTAGAATTACAGAAAGTGAGAGGGAGAGACAGAGAGAAAGGTCTTCCATCCATTGGTTCACCCCCCAATTGGCTGCAATGGCCAGAGCTGGGCTGATCTGAAGCCAGGAGCCAGGTGCTTCTTCCCAGTCTCCCATGTGGGTGCAGGGGCCCAAGGACTTGGGCCATCTTCTACTGCTTTCCCAGGCCACAGGAGAGAACTGAATTAGAAGAGGAGCAGCCAGGAACTAGAGTTGGCGATCATATGGGATGCCGGTGCCGCAAGCGGAGGATTAACCTACTGTGCCACAGAGCCAGCCCCTATTAAAAAGCTTCTCAACAAACTAAACTTTAAAGTGCAAGTGATTTTGAAACCTGAAAAAAATGCTCTGCAATCTAATTACTTACGATCAAATTCCTCATTTAGTTATGCAATAATATTAATTTCTGAGTTTCATTAATTCACCAACCATGACATATCATATAGTGATATATTATTTTTAACAATTTTAACTGCCATAATACCACTACACAGAAAACC